GGGTTTTTATTTATTTATTTATTTTTATTGAAGTATAGTTGATTTACAAAGTTGTGTTTGTTTCAGGTGTACAGCAAAGTAATCCAGTTATACTTACATACATATATATATTCTTTTTCAGATTCTTTTCCCATATAGGTTATTACAAAATATTGACTAGAGTTCCCTGTGCTATACAGTAGGTCCTTGTTGTTTATCTATTTAATTTAAAATATTTTTAAATTCCTCCTTCCTATACAATAAATTCACTTTAAGCAATAATCATGTAATGAACCAAATAATAATGGCCGTAAAAGAAATGCAGGCAGTGAAAATTTAATTAATATTTTATGTAAATAACTGTCCGGTAACTACATGAATTTTAATAAAACTGGAATATCTGCAAACACTACAATTTGGGAAGCCACAAAATCGTTCCATTGATGTACCATTTTATTTTCTTGATGCATTCTTTAGTGTTAAAACAACGAACAGGGTTTCCCTGGTGGCGCAGTGGTTGAGAGTCCGCCTGTCGATGCAGGGGACATGGGTTCGTGCCCCGGTCCGGGAAGATCCCACATGCCGCGGAGCGGCTGGGCCCGTGAGCCATGGCTGCTGAGCCTGCGCGTCCGGAGCCTGTGCTCCGCAACGGGAGAGGCCACAACAGTGAGAGGCCCGCGTACCACAAACACAAAAAACAAAAAAAACACAAGGAACAATATTAAAAGGTTTTATACACTTTTTTTGTTTGTTTGTTTGCCGCGCCGCATGGCTTGTAGGATCTTAGCTCTCCCACCAGGGATCGAACCCGTGCCCCCCGCGAAGGAAGTTTGGAGTCCTAACCACTGGACCACCAGGGAATTCCCAGGTTTCATACGCTTTAAATCTTACAATTTTATTTGTCAGTTATACCTCAATAAAGCTGAAAAAATAAATTTAAATAAGTAGAAAAAAGTTTTAAAAAGATATTATTCAAATTCAGCACTACAGTTCATGGATGAGCTAACATTTACACTTGCCAACAAAAAAAATATTGTAACTCATGATTTGCAATACTCTGCTGTTTTAATAATCATAACAAAATCAAACAGTCATAGAAAGTTATTATTATTATCTGAGTGACTACTAAGTGTCCAGCACTGTTCTAATCGCTTTACACATCATAACCTCTTTTAATCCTTCCCCAAGCCTGTGAAGCAGGCACTATTATTACCCCATTTTACAGATGAGGAGACTAAGGCACAGGGATCAAGGTCATGGCCCAAAGTCACACAGCAAGGAAGTAATGGAACGGGATTTGAACCCAGGCCGACTCCCTGTAGGATGTGTGTTCTTGACGTACCAGAGTGGACTGGGGTCAATAGGAGGGTGGTCAAGGACCACTTCCCTGGGAACATGGAAGGTTAACCAGGAGGAGTAGAGGAAGGGCATTTTAGTAAAAGGGAATGACAGTGGCAAAGACGCTGAGGCAGAAATAAGTTTGATGAGTTGGAGGAATAGAGAGGAGGTCCGTGGGACTGGAGCCGAGTGAGGTGGGGACTGTAGTGGGAGATGACAGCAGGGGCTGCATCATGAAGGGCCTTAGGGGACCACTAAACGTTCTAGGCAAAGGAGGAGTGACTCTAATTTCCTCCCTTCTGTTGTGCAACATCTGGCACCACGAGGAATTAGGGCTCTTTTGGGTGTAAACAACAGAAGCAGGAGGCAGGATCTTACACAGGATGAGGGGTCTAGGCTTCCTGGGTCTGCCCACCCCAGCAGTGTGACCATTGACAAATTGCTTCACCTCTCTGTGTCTCAGTTTCCTCAACTGTGCAAAGGGGATAATAATAATACCTACCACAGAAGGAGAATTAAATAGGTTAATACAAAACAAGTGGTTAGAATAAGGGTCTGGCAGGTAGTAAGGGCTACATAAGGTCACATATCATTATATTCCTTGTCACAATAAATATGGGCTCACATAACTGAGAGCCCGACAGCTTCAGGTGAGGTTTGATCCAGGTGCTCACATGGTATCACCAAGTCTTCCTTCTACCATCACAGGCTGCCTGGGCTTTATATGATGGCTCCACATAGCAGCTAAAGCCCCAGTCCCAACCCGGTGGTCCACAAAACTGCTACTGCAGTTTCTCCCATCCTCAAACCACACCACCTAGGGCCAGATTGGGGGTCTTTTCCGGTTGCCCCAATGGAAGGAAGATATGCCTCCCCAGAATCCCCACCAAGTCTCCCTGACTCTCATTGGCTCTAAGTGGGCTACATGCCCACTCCTGAGACAATCGCTGTACCCAAAAAGATGAGGTAGTGGTTGGGAGCTGGGGCTAGAGCCAGTCACAGATGATGATGGGGGAGCATATGGTCAGAAAAGAAATGCAGGGTCCTAACTCCACTTCGCCTGGACTGTTGGGTTCTGTGCTGGATGCAGAGAATCACCACCTTGCCTCAGCTTCCCCACACTGCCCCTAGCCCCCAAGTGCTACATCAAGTTGATTGCAGAGCAAAGACGTGGGGAAACCAGCCTCACCCTCCCAGGGATCATTTTTGGACATTTCTTCCATCGACACCCCCCGCCCCCGAGTGACCCACACACCCTTTCCCAGCTCCCACCCTCAGCCCCCTGCCCCAGGGACAGATGAAGCAGTGCAGAAAAAAGAGAGGCTGAGTTTACTTTGGCTATTTAGGACTTGCTGCCTGGGAACTCCTGGAGTCTTTTTCCTTCAGTGGCCAGAGGAAGGGGCTTCCTCAACATATGCAACACCCCCGCTCCAGCTCCGTAGGGACCCCAAGATACCAGCATGGGACCAGGTCTACACAGCCTGTGAAAGTCTGAGAAGATCTATCTTCCCCGGGTCTTCCTCTATCACCCCCCAGCCAGGGAGGACAGAATGGGTGCAGGCACTGTCTTGAAAGCTGGGAACACAAACAATAAAAAAAAAAAAGGCAAAAATCTCTGCCCTCGAAGATGGGATGGGAAATAAACAAGATAAATATGGAAATTATATGTCTTACATGAGCCGGTGATGAGTGCTAAGGAGAAAAACAAAATGGGAAAATTACAGTTGATTTCACCCACCCCATGGTTTTAAATATCATTTGTGTGTCGTTGGTCAGAGGGTACAAACTTCCAGTTAGAAGATGAACACGTTCTGGAGGTCGATTGGACAGCATGGGGACTATAGTTAACAATACGGTATTATATATTTGGAATTTGCTCAGAGAGTAAATCTTCAATGTTCTCACCACAAAAAAGAAATGGTAACTGTGTGACAGGACGGCGGGGTTAGCTAACACCATGGTGGTCATCATTTTGCAATATGTAAGTGTATCAAATCAACACGTTGTACACCTTAAACCTACCCAATGTTATATATCAATTATATCTCAATAAAGCTATGGGGGGCAGGGGAAGGATTAACCTCAGGGAAAAGCAAATGTAAATGTGTAACAACAGCTGATTGGTTAAATAAACACTGAACCATCCATCCAAAAACAAACAAACAAAACATTTAAATAAAAATAATATCTTACTCCCAGAATCACCTACTTGCTTAGTGTGAAGAAACCCAACTAAAATACTTGGAAACACAACACAATGCCACGTCTCTTTTGGAGAAAAAGATAAGATTTCTGAATAGCATATACTCTGTGTTAGCCCTTACTCTGATTGACAAGATGCTATCTTAGGATCAATTGCTATGGATGCAACTTAAAAATTCATTGTGTTTTAGCCCTAGACTTTACAAAATAAATATGCAATTTCAGGAACTTCTTTCATTACCAATGACAATAAGAGAGGGACCACATTCTGATATTTAAACTATTTCGTGTCTGGGGTGAGGATCTTTTCCGCTATCACTAAATATTTGGTATACACTCTCTTCCCTTTTTTTAAAATAAATTTTATTTATTTATTTATTTTTGTCTGCGTTGGGTCTTCGTTGCTGCGCACGGGCGTTTTCTAGTTGCGGCGAGCGGGGGCTGCTCTTCATTGTGGTGCGCGGGCTTCTCATTGCTGTGGCTTCCCTTGTTGCGGAGCACGGGCTCTAGGCGCGTGGGCTTCAGTAGTTGTGGCACACGGGCTTAGTTGCTCCAGGGCATGTGGAATCTTCCCGGACCAGGGCTCGAACCGGTGTCCCCTGTCTTGGCAGGTGGATTCTTAACCACTGCGCCACCAGGGAAGTCCTTCCCTTTTGTTTTGTCACCAACTAAAATTGGACTGCTCAAGAAACACTTAACTGTTATGACTATTTCACTGTTAACAATTATTGGCAGAAGTTATCTTCAGTGCTTAAAAAAAGCTAAATGCATTGGCTATCTAGACACTTTTCACAGGTTTGAAACATTTGCACATTTAAAGGAATGAGAGAAATTTGGCCAAGGAATTATTCAAGCCAAGCTGAAACTTAAAAAAAAAAAATCACCCTTGTGCCACAATTCCCACGTCGATACCTCTGGTTGCATCCTCGCTGGCCTCTGTGCAGGTTTCACGAACATCTCAAAGGTAATATGACCCCGGTTGTCTTAGCCAGCTCAGTCCAAGACAAATCTGTTCTTACATTTACTCACCAGAAGCTCTGGAGTGGCCCTCAGCTCCTCTTTCTACACCCCACACCCAGTCCTGGCAGCTCTGCTTCAAAATCTAGCCAGAATCAACCCACTTGTTCCCACCCGTGCTGCCTCCACCTGGTCCAGTCCCATCATCGCTCACCTAGACGGGCACAGTCACCTCCACCCTAGTCCTCCCTCGTTCCCCAGTCTGTCCTCCCCAAAAGAACCACCAGAGGGCACCTGTGAGCACCTGAGGCAGGTCCAACCCTCGGCTCCGGCCCTCTCCCCCACAGTCTGTCCTCCCTGCAGCAGCCACCAGAGGGTGCCTGTGAGCACATGAGTCAGGCCCCGCCCCCTCCCCTCCCTCCCACCTCCCTCAAGATTAAAAGCCCAAGTCTCCCCCAAGGCCCAGGAGGCCCTGTACCACCTGCCCCATCCCCTCCCTGCCCTCCCCTCCTCCCTCTCTCCACCTCACTCTCTATGATCCAGCCACACGGGCCTCCTCACTGTTCCTCCAACACACCAGGCACAGTCCTGCCCCAGGGCCTTTGCACAGGCTGTTCCCTCTGCCTAGAACACTCTTCCCCCAGATGTCACACACTTCCCTCCATCACCTCCTCAGGTCTCTCCTCAAAGTCACCTCCTCAGAAAGGCCTCCTCTGACCCCAAGGCTGAGTGACCACACCCCCTCCTCAATTCACTCTCTGTTTCTTGCTTTCAGGGCACTTATCACTACCTCCCATCTTGTTACTGACTGATTGACTTGTGTAGTGTCTGTCTTTGCCATTACAATGACATTACAATGACATCCCCTGGAGGGCAAAGGTGGGTCCCCTCTGTGTCCCCAATGTCTAGAGCAGACCCAGGTGCCTGGGATCAAATCCCAACTCCACCTCTGCCCAGCAGCTGGGATCTAAAGCAAGTTTCTTGTCCTCCTGGGGCCTCACCTTTTCCATCTGGAAAGTGGAGATAATCATCGCAATCAATGAGCTTACCCACATGGTGGGCTTGGAAAGTGACTGGCACACAGTAGATGCTCAATAAGTGCATGGCTGAGGGTCCACCATGGATGGCCAGGGGTCCTCGGCCAGGTGCCATTTATCCAGATGTGTGTGTACACAGGCAGGCGTGCACCTGTGTGTCCACCCACCTGTGTGTCCATCTGCAGGCATGGCACACACACAGAGGCAAAACATGTCAACCACTCTGGGCCTGGCCTGGCCCCAATCTCCTCCCTTCAGGCCTGATGCCCAGAGACCCTGCTCCCAGCCTGGGACAAGCTCCACCCCTCCCCACCAGTTCACCTGGCTCAGGAATGGGGTCTCTATCTGAGCTGAGGGCATCCATCCATCTCTGAGGTTAAAGGTGATGAGGTCAGCAGGGTCTCAGCTTGGGGTCCCCTGCTGTTCCCATGAGACCCACGTTCTTTTTTTAAAAATTTTTATTGAAATATAGCTGATATACAATGTTGTGTTAGTTTCAGGTGTACAGCGAAGTGATTCCATTATACATATATAGAGAAGGAGACCCACATTCTTTTGAGGATTCCACAGGAACGGTACTGGGAAGGGACCTTCTTCAGCTCCACAGAAGACTCCTCCCCTCCATCCCAGTCCCCCCTGGGGTCAGGATTCTTCCCCCACCCATGTGGCTCCATCCCCAAGCTCCCCCACCTCTGAGGTGTCCACCTGACCCATGCGGACAGATGGCCTGGGGGTGTGAGAGGAGCAGACCCAGGGCAAGCAAGAGGGACAGGGAGAGTTGTGAGGGACAAGTTCTCCTACCCCCTGCCCTCTACACCCACCCCCAACTCACCTCAAGTTACCAAGGCACCAACGATGGGCAAGCTTCTACCATTCTGGGGGCAGTGGAATCAGAGCAGGGTCACCCTTCTTCCCTGGGACGCTGAGTCCTGCAGCACAGCATCTGCCCGACCCTCCAAGCACAGGGCTGATGGGAGAGCATCAAGCTCAGCCCCTCAGAAAAGCAGCATGAACCCACCTGGCTGATGAGGTTTTCCCACAGATCAGGGACCACTTATATATGCCCTGCTCTTTCTGGGGCCTGAGTCTAGGAGTGGAGGAGCAAGGGACGGGTGTCACCACTGCAGCCACCCGTACCCCCTCCCGTCGTGTCCCCCGCCTTCTGGGCCTCAGTTTCCCAAATATACTTGGGATCCACACACCAAAGCTTCATGGAGAAGCAGCAGGGATGGGGGAGGCAAGGCAGATCCCACCTAGCCTCCACAACCCCAGGTAACAGGTGGGAGGAAGCAGGGGACAGGGGAATGACAGTGTTCACAGGCAAACACTCAGTTGTCCATGGTGGTCACTCACCATCCACAGCCAGATGCCCGGCCATCCATGGTGGACCCTCAGCCACTCACAGAGGGACACACTGCCTTCAACAGGTGGGCTTGAAACCATTCTGTTGGGGAAAGGGAGAGAGTCATTTCCACACTGTATTCTTTTCCTCTAACTGCCATAACAAATTACTACAAACTTTGCAGCTTAAACAACACAGATTTATTATCTTACAGTTCCAGAGGTAAGAAACCCCACCCAGGGCTCACCAGGATAAAAAGGTGTGCACAGGCTGTATTCCTTTCTGGAGGTTCCTGGGGAGGATCTGTTTCCTTGTTTATTTGGGTTATTGGCAGATTTTACTTCCTTGCGGTTGTAGGACTGAGTTCTCCATTTCCTTGCTGACTGTGAGCTGAGAGCCACTCCCAGCTTCTAGAGGCACCTGCATTCCTTGGCTCATGCCCCCCTCCCGTCTTCAAAGCCTGAAGCAGCAGATCAAGTCCCTCGCACCCTTCATATCTCCCCTCCTCTTCTCCCATCTCACTTCTGACCCAGCTAGAAAGGGTTCTCTGATTTTAAGGGTCCATGTGATTAGCCTGAGCCCACCCGGATAATCCAGGACCACCTCTGCTTCTCAAAATCAGTAACCTTCATCACATCTGCAGAATCTCTTTTGCCATGAATATGTAGGGAACATACTCAAGGTTCTTGGGATTAGGACGTGCACAACTTTGCGTTAGGCAGGCATTATATGCACATGGACACCACACAGGTAAGTACAGGTCTGTGGCTAGCAAATTGTACCTGTATGCAAATTAGAACAAGTCACCTTGTCATCACAGTAGACTTCAAAGTCATCACAATGGACTGACTTTGACAGAATGAGACCCTTGACTGCCCTCTGCTGGAAAGGAGTCAAAATAAATAGACAAATCGACCGTGTTTCTGCTGTGAATGAAACCCCTCAAAGGTGGCACCCTAGTGCGGAGAAAACACATACAAACCAACTTAGTCAAACACTTGCATACTTACAGCCCACAGTGAAACTAGTTGACATAGCTCACAAAAGAGTTTGGTATGGGGACTTCCCTGGTGGTCCAGTGGTTAAAACTCCGCTCTCCCAATGCAGGGGGCCCAAATTCCATCCCCGATCAGGGAACTAGATCCTGCATGCCACAACTAAAAAAAAAAAAAAAAAAATCCCGCATGCTGTAACTAAGACCCGGCACAGCCAGATGAATAAATATATATTTTTTTAAATAGTTTGGTTTTGAGCCATTGGTGCAAGTGTGGAGTCTAGCATTAAGTGAAGATGTCCAATGGAGGGGGGTGGACAGCTTGTCCTGTGGGAGCCTGTGGACATCGTGGACAGCTGACCAACAGTTGCTAAGGGGTCACACAGAGAGTTATAGAAGGGCTGGAGGATGGCGGGCAACAGGAAATAGCCACTGGGATGATGCGAGAGTGGACACCCTCAGAAGTGAAAACTCTCAGATGAGGCTTGGGTCCTGCCTGCAGACATTCATTTATCAAGTGTCAGCCATGTGCCGGGCACTGTTTTAAGGCAAGTGGTGGATAAGACAGATGTGAGCCCACCTTGCCAGTGGGCCCTTTCTTAAGCCAAGGAAGAGAGAAACAGTCCCTAGATCACCATGGCAGGGGACAAGAGGGTGGCCATGACCATCCCTCCGTTCCTGAACAGCACATTCTACTGAAAACAATGCAGGGAAAAGCTATATAGTTCCCAAGCTAGCCCACAGTAGTCGACTTAGCCCATAAGGCAGGTGAAAGTGATGGGATAGATAGGAAGTGACGGGGGGAGTACAGACAGGTAAGGAAGAGAAATGTCCCATAAGGAAGAGGTCAATTTCCATAACTAGACTGATGGGCTAGCCTGGAGGTTATGGTCTCTAACCATAAGTTCGCTTCTTTTGAGAAGTGAAAACATTTCTTAGCATCAAACCCTTTAAGTTTTAAACTGACAACTCAATGCCCAGTCACTCACCAGCAAACGTGTGTGGGGTATTGAAGGGGGAAAATTGCCACAGTATTTGGTATCTCCCCCATCAAGAAGATATGGATTCTGTTTCTCTTCCTCCTGAATCTGTATTTGACCATGTGATTTGTTTGGCCCATGAAACTTTAGCAAACATGACACAATGGGGAGCAAAAATGCTAGCAGGCTCTCTGCTTTTTCTGGTAAATCTGCAGCTACGGTGGAAATGAGTTCAAGCTAACCTGCTGGAGAGACCACATGGAGGAGAACCAAGGCACCCTAGCCAACAGCCTGTGACTACCAGACACACGCAGGGAGCCCTCCATGATCATCTGGCATTTGGCCCCAGCCCACCCACCAGCTAATTGCAGTCCCATGAGTGACCCCAAGAAAGACCAACAGATGTATCACTCAGCTTAACTCAGCCCAAATCTCCAACCCACAGAATCAAGTGTTAATAAATGACCATCTTTTAAGCCATTACATGTTAGCGTAGTTTGTTACACAGCAAAGGCTAACTGCTACAATGTTGAAACACAGTCTCTTTGAAAGGAGACACACAAGCTCTCTAATGTGCAGCCACTAACTCTCTTAACAATAACCACACAAAGACATTGGTGTGGTCAACATGTAAGTTTCAGTGCCAGAAATTCTAATTTATTCATCCTGCCATCCACTAGGTGGCAGGAATTCTTCATCTGGCTCAAACTTCCACTTAAGCTAGAAGTACAGGCTAAGGAATCAATTTGTGTTTCCACTTAAAAAAAAAATACTTTTACCTTGCAATCATTATCTTGATTTTACAGATGAGGAAACCTAGGCATGAGGAGATTTACATCTCTTGCTTGTGAGGGATGAAGCCAGGGTTTGCATCTAGGCTGACTCTACAATTAATTACTACATTGGACTGACACCCTGCTCTATCACGGATTATCTGTGTAACCCTGAGCAAGGCGCTACACTCTTATACCTCAGTTTCATCTCATGTAAAATGAGAGAGCTGAACTAAAACCAAAGGTTCCTAACCTGGACTGAACAGCTATGATACTATATAACTGTCCAAAAAAATCTTGGGCGTAAATATATTTGGGGGGGGGAGTTGAGGGCGATGGATTGGAGGTGGTCTTTAAATTCAGTTAATTCCCAAATGAGTCTATGATCCAGAAAAGGTTAAGAAACATTGTATAATATCCTCCAGAAGACCTATTCCAGGAATCAAGTTCCCATTCAAGTTGATACCAAATGCTATAATCACAATTGTGCAGAAACCGTGCAAGCCTTACAGAGAACAGTCTCGGGGACAATGTGGCCCATAATGCAGCGGTACTGAACTGTGGTCAGGGTGAAGCATGACCCTGGTCTTAATTCCAAGCTTGAATGGAATGCCTCTTTCTAACACACCCTGTGCCCTTATCTTGGAACTAGACCAGTTATGGGCTTGTCCCACTGAGTCACGACCTGCCCGGGGTGGGGGGCGTGCTTTCACCCTGCCCCAGGCAAGGTTCTGTTGCTATAGCTTTAACCTCTGAGCCCTACCTATCCACAACCTGAGAAAGCACTTAGTGATGATTACAGGAACTACCAAGATAGGCGACAGCGAATTCTGTCTGAAGCAGCCCTTGCCTAATTTTCCGGGAGTCTGACTCATTGTAACTGTTTCTGGTGGCTTGATGTTTCCCCAGAACGAGCTGCTGTCTCTCACAGCTGCTCACCCCACAGCCTCCTCTCCATTCTGTACCAGCTCCTATCTGCCCCTGTCTTGAGTTCCCACAGCCAACAGGTCCTCCTACTTGCCTCCAAATCTGCACGCCAGCCTGACGTCAGAAGCACCTACAGCTGTTCACAGCCGCTGGCCTCAGGTGTCCCGAGCGAGATCTCCCTTCCCATGACAGCCCAGTTCACTCTAAGCTGGTCATAAAGTTTGCTATGTGGTGCAAGTATGCAAACTTTTCCTTTGGGTGGTGGAATTTTTGTCAAGCAACATCTTACGGAAACTCAAACAACGCGAAAGCCTTTGGGATGGCAGGACCTTAGAGAGAGCACCGCATCTTGGGGGGGGGGGCAGAGGGAGGGGGCACCCGCAGGCAATCAGGTAAGTATGCAAGAGTTCATGCGTAGGTGGCCTGGGGGAAATCGAGGAGACAGAACTGGTTTCCCCAAAGCGTTGGCCCCGGGAAGGTGGGTAAGAGCGAGGGTTCAGCGGGCAGGAACTCAGGCCAAGAAGCAAGCATGAGAACACAGGCCCTGGGAATTTACAGACATCTCGGGGAGGGCGTTGGGCTTCCCGCAGGTCGTGGGAGTGAGGCAGGCGCCAAAGCTCCGAGGCCTGAGTAACCCCAGCTGACATCTGGAGAACAGCTGTTATACAAAAGAGCCTGTCCCAGCCAGGGAGCAGTAACCCCAGCAGGGCTTTCAAACACCCAGCAGGGTTTTTTTAATAGCTTTAGAGAGATTCTTTCACAACAACAAACTCACTAAGAGCCACTGCTCAGCTGCAGCATGGACACACCCCGAGACACACATGTCCGCCACATATAATAATAGCCCAATATTTCACGCATGGGCAGTATGCATCAGACAGGGTACTATCACTTTACACATAGTAATTCATGTAATTCTTATAACAACTCCTTGGGGTCGATGCTATCCCCATTCCCATAGCAGGCAGGGGAATTGCTTCAACACCCTTCCAGGGTGAAAGCGCAAGCCACCCCCATCCTTGCCCATAGATCCTTGCAAGACCTGGCCCATCCCCTCCCTGCCCTGACCTCTTCTCTCTCTTCCCCTCGCTCATTCTGTTCCGGTCACATGAACTCCCCAAGTAAATTCCTGCCCCAGGGCCTTTGCATGTGCTCCTCCCTTTGCCAAAGAGGCTCTCCCCACTGAAGCACTGCACAGCTCTCGCCTCGCCCCCTTCCATTCTTTACCCACAAATGTCACCCCCCTCCCCACATGCACATACACAGCACTTAACACCATCGAGCATACTGCATACTTTTGTTTCCTCATCTAGCATGTTGTATACTTTTATTTCCTCATCTCTATTGTCAGCACGACCCACCAGAGCAGGGATTTGTGTCTGTGTTGTTCACTGCTGTGCCTGAAGTGCCTAGAACAGTGCCCAGCGC